CCGCGGTCAGTGACCCGCCAAGGCCGCGCGGCCGAGGTCAGTGCCCCGCCAAGGCCGCGCGACCGAGGTCAGTGACCCCGCCAAGGCTGCGCGCCGAGGTCAGTGACATTACTCTGTAGTATGTATATAATACATATACTACAATATAAAGTATAATATTATAAATATATAATAAATTATATGTATAATATGTATTATTTAATGTTATATATAATATAAATTACACACACAGTCACATTATTTTTACGTGTTGTTTTTCTACTCTTTCCTGTCACGTGACTTTAGTTACGTTTTTAATTTTCTCTACATATATACGACAAAAAGACTGTCTCAAAATCGCTTTTCATTATTTACTCTCTCGATCTTACCGATTCGATTCGACTTGATCAACCAACCAACCAATCGGCAACGCGGAAAAGAGGCAACAATCAAGATTGATAGAATCTGGTAGGATTAGTATCTTTGATAAGTTAATGTGTGTGTAAAGCTTTTTTGATAAAGTTAAGAAAGTATTTAAGTAAAATCAACTAAGTATAGACCATCATTCTCTCAAATATAATGGTTAAAAAAAACTTTAGTATGGTGATTGGTTGATTTTCATAATGCTTAAATCTTACTAGTTAAGGTTTTTCGTGTGTTCTTGGCTTGAATCATACGATCGGACACGTGAAATATTGGTCTTCATTCACGTAAAGACGTTTGTAGAAATGGATGTTTTCAAAATAAAACTACAGTGCTAGACTGCTAAGTGTAATCAGTCAATAAGTTTCAAATTTTGCAAACTTTATGTTTGTACAGGATTGCTTTGATTATATATTTTGATCAGAATCTTCTTAGAAGTGGTCTTCACAAATTTAGTGAAGAGTCGACAGACGCAGAGATTGGATTTTTATATTTTTATATTATTACGCATCACACCTACAATATAAAATGGAATTTCCCGAAACTGGTAAACATTGTTCGGTAGAAGATTGCAAGTTACTTGATTTTCTACCATTTCATTGTCAGCATTGCAAAGCTGTTTTTTGTAAAGAACATTTTCATATGACATCACATGAGTGTTCAAAAGTTGAGGATGTACAACCCTCTTTAAAGAAATCAGAAAATTATTTGTGCTCAAAGAAGTTCTGCAAGGAAATGTCACCAGTTAGTATGCCTTGCAGCAAATGTAAACTACATTTTTGTATAACACATAGACATCATGGGTGTTGGGTGTTTGGGGTGGATGAAACAGAAGTAACTCAGAAGTTAAAGAAATGGCAGTTACCAAAAAAACAGTTTGCAGATGCAAAAGCTGTGGTAGATCAACAAGTTGCAGAGAGTTTGAAGAAGTCCAAGAATACAGCATTGGCAAACAAAGTACTGTTATTCATAAATATAAAAATAAATATATCTTATAGTAAGAGTTATTGCTGAGACAGATGTATGCATATCGTTCTCTATTTATCTAGGTGCAACTTATGCGGATCAAAGGTTCTGCTATTGGCCCTAAAAATATACCAATGAGCGACAGATGTTACTTTCTAGTGCATTTGCCTCTCACAGTTAAAAATCAACACATAGGCACATCTAAAGGTGTGTTTGTTAATACACAATGGACAGTTGGCAAGTGTATAGACTCAATGGCAGATACTCTGAAGGTCCCCAATAACAATAATACTGCTACAGCAAAGAAATTACAACTTTATCGTCATTTAAATGGAGATTTGATATGCAGCGAGATGGACACGGTTTTAAGTAAATTAATAGAGGATTCTGTAATTGTTGACGGGCAGAGAGTTATTCTGGAATATTCTGACAATGTACCTCTAGATACATCCTTGTATAAATAGACATGTACTTTAAATATTTAATTATAATAGACTTTCGTATAAATTATCCATGAATGTGTATATCAATGGATACGTGTATATAACTATAATAAATTTTCATATAAATTATCTATAAATATGTGTATATAACAGTAATACTGAAATACATTGACTTTAAAGTTTGTCTACGATTTATATTTTTACTAGTAATTTAATTGGCGTTAACAATAAAAAAGAACAACCTTTAGAATAATACTTGTTTATTACAAACTAGAAGGTTTTATGTCAGTTTTACATTTATCCTTGACGAAAGGATATCTAAATGCATCAAACAAAATAGTTCAATACCAGATTATTGTCAAATTTGTTTCAAAGAAAAGACCAACAATATTCTGACTTTGGCACTGGACGTTTCCTGTCGCGTTTATAAGAGTTATGCTAATACAGCGAGAAATATAAATTAGCTATATGTATGTATGTATATGTATATATATAAAATGTACAAAGAAATGTGTGCGCTCATTCATAACTTTGTTATCATAGATATGGCGTTGCACACACTAGAACGAGTAAATTGAATACATTGTAAATTTGTGTCATGTTACACTTGCACACTTATAAGAGAGTAATATCTTTTATAATCCATATACTTATCAATTACAAAACAAAGATATTTCTTATACCTACACATGTGCGCGACCAAACAAAACTTTTCGAAGTAGGAAAGCAAGAATGGAATTTGATAATTTTATTTGTAACACATGTCTAGATAATAAAGTAAATATTTCAGAAGATTTTGATTTGTAAAAAAATGGTTTTCATTTCTAATTCAATAGATTCTACAAGTTTTTTTTAAACGGAAACAACGTACGAAAATGTGCTAAAAGTTGAGATGACTTTCGGCGTTATCTCAAATTTTTATACAAAAAAACTTGTACATTATTTTTATTAATAGTATACGTATACGACTATAAAAACTATTTGTGCCAGTGTGCTGAGAACTTTCGCATCAGTTAGATAATATCAGATCTCTGTGTGAATACATTAATTATGCGAATTATTCTCTGTCAAAATTAAGTCGCAATGGAATGAAAGAAATGTATTATATATCATATAAAAAAATGTATAACTATATTCTCAACATAAAATAAAATAAAAAAATTATTGAAAAAAATTCGTATTATACTTAAAACAAAAAATTCTGAGATTTTTCTTAGAATATCGCATATTCGTAGCACAATGCCAACTAAAAATATATACAGAGCTCATTACGTGAATGCCTCTGCTTTAGCGCATTTAAGTTACTAGTCCCATGTACCATCGAGTACATCAATTGTGTCTTGTAAAACAACAATTGCAAACATATTGTTGCGGTGTGCGATTTTGCAACGGCGAGTCGTTCCCATTACAAGGAGATTCGCTTGGCTGACAATTAGCAGCCGTGTTAGCAACAGCTTAGTCGAGCTGTATCACATGTCGTTGAAACGTGTCTGAGTTATGATTTCGCGTTTCCGATTTAATTTCACACATAATTGATACATAATAGTTTTGTTACTTTTTTAAAACACTGTTATTGTTAACTCGTAAATTTATGAGTATTAAAACAACCGACCGCAACAATATGATTTTGCGACACATAACTCGCTGATTCTTTGCAAACACAAAGTAGTGCATAATGCAATGAATTACAATTTATATAAGCAAAACAATAAGCTCCTTGAGCGTTACAAAAAAATTTATGATCGTAAACGCGCAAGACACATTATTTTTGCACCCTGTGTACTTAATCTCTAAAATATTTATTGAGAGTTTGATCGCAAAGATACTTCCTGCATTAGCAGACGAAGACGATTCGTCAATTATTATCCTTTGCTCACATACAGATGGAAATAATTTTTGAAGTAAAGGACGAACTTGATAAAGAACAGAATGCACAGTATGTATAAAAAGATTGCGAAGAGTACGAGCAATGCCATTCGCGCGTTTATATTTGTCTCTGTTTCCTGTGAGTCGCGCGATCGGCCGCCGCTGGCCACCTGCCTGCTGGCCGGAGAATGTATCTGATATCGGTAGGTGGCCTGAAGTCAAGCTCAGGAATGCCAGCGAGACCGTTGCAGCTCAATCTGACCTTCCAATGTTTTCGCGAGATAGATCACAAACAACTGACTCAGCGCAATACCCAGAGCAATGCCGGCTATCGTGTACAGATTGCGCTCGGCCCAGCTACGCACGATTTCGATGCACCCACTGGTCCACACCTTTTTACTCGCTTCCGATACAGGCAGCATTTGGACCTTATAGCCGCACATTATGTTCACAAGTCCACTCTGAAAAAGAATTATTTCACTTGCATATTGAGAAAAGTTCAAAAAAAAAAAATATTTTAGATTCTGAAAAATAAATATGTTATGTACATACAGATATATCAGTAGCATTCATGCAACATGAAAATGGTACACCACAACGCTCTACACTGGGGCTAGTGCAGTTAAAATATTCATTCTTTCCCCAATCCAAATATCCTTCTTGACTCAAGCCGCAACATTTGAACTGTAATATAAAATTTTACATAAGTTGCTTGTAACAAACTTATAAATTGTCATTCATTTAACAAATCCTATCTATACAAAGTTCTTACTTCTTGTTGTCCGAAATCGATAAAATTCTGAAGATCTGGATCTTCTCTGTACGTCTGGATTATTTTGTCTGTAAAAGATTCTTCCAAGAGAGACTGCAGTGTTTGCGGGAATACAAAACCAACTATTGCCACACCCATTTCCAGAAGGAAAAACACCAGAAGACACAAAGAATACTAAAAAGCATTATTTTGTTAATCACATATGCTTTAAACTTGTAAAGCGAAATTATTTAGAGCATTATGTAAAACTAACAAATTTAAGAAGGCATGTATTCTCACGAAGAGCTCCTACACATCCTGCAAAGCTAACTATGAACACCACTGCACCAGCTATTAACATCACAAGGGATATATTCAAGACCACGTCATAAACATTCTCCACTCTGACAGATCCGGTTGCTTGCCATTTGTCGACAAACGCATAAAGACCTACTCCAATTAACAGACCTCCGAACAACTATAAACACACAAAGAAAGATATGTAATTACAATTGTAAATTATCTCTCAAATATTTATCTCTCTTTGTTTTTCAGCACTGACTATTTTGTTTAGTTTTTACAATTTGTATTTATAGAGATATAATCGACGGTAAAGTTTATTTATATATTGATTAGAATATTACACTTTCTATTACGAGAATGTTACGTTGAGTAACAGACGAACGGCGAAGATACGGCGTTAAAATCAATATTACACAAGAGAAACATACGAGAACAATCTTAGAAACTAGTTATTTACCCAGAAGACAAAATTCAGCATGAAAATCATGTATTTCACGCATGAGCTGACATATGTAAAGTTGTTGATCCGCCTGCGATTATTCATCATCATGTCGTGATAGAAAATTGGACGAGTTTTACAAATAACCGATAACTTCAAAACACACAACGCAGTTTGCAGCTTGCTCGTCGTGTCGTTTAATTTACAGCAATAGAATACGATCTATGTCGATGCAACATACTTCGTTAGCGCTTTGACAGCTTGCGTTTGTTCCGCCATTACACATTTCTGACATTTCTCACGTAACGTAATAGACGAGAAACGTTCCACTTGGCGATCGCAACACTCGCGATCATAAGCTGAGTTCACAATAGCCGCGTTCAGCAGACCAATTGCTGAATTGTCGTCTTGTCAACGTTCGACCTTGATTTATTGGTTCTAAAAGTAAGAGCCAATCATGTGTTCGATTGTTACAAAACAACTTGTTCTGCTGAACGCAGCCAATGGTCGCTTTCAGGCGCCATTTGTTCAGACGCGCTCGCGAAGTCGTGTTAGTCATGTAAAAAGATAGAAGGCGGGCTTGGGTGGGTTGTACTGGGAATAACTGAGTTGTACATTGAAGTAACACAATCATAATTATATATGCTATAGAGAAAACCAGTAGACTCAAATGACAACGAGACGATGAGCGGAGTTTTACAATCGGAGCATTCGAGGAATAATTGTTGCATCGCAAACCGACAACACTTCATCTCAACGGCGTTTAAAAAATTGTGACTGATCTGAAAAAGAGAAGGCGTCGCAAACAGGCAAGAATGTCTCTGAGTGCCAGTGCCGAGAATCTGTCGTCGGAGGGACAAGTGAGTGAATCAACATTCCTGATTCTTTCGCATTTCATGACTCACTCGTTGTGCGACGAGTGCCACGCCTGCTTTTTTATTCTGCGATAGCAAAATAAATTGATTTATAGATACAACAATCTATGAAAATAATTTTTCATACCAAGTACTGTATGTGATATTTTATGATATTTACTACAGAGTAGCGAGAGGTGGAATATGTGCCTGGAACTGGCACTGGAAGGTGAACGCCTCTGCAAGGATGGCGATTGCAAGTCAGGCGTTGCTTTTTTCCAAGCTGCGATCCAAGCTGGTACGGATGATCTGCGAGTGTTGAGTGCTATCTACAGCCAACTGGGCAATGCGTATTTTTATCTTGGCGATTATGTCAAGGCAATGCAGTATCATAAGCTAGATCTGACACTTGCCAGAAACATGGGTGACAAATTAGGTGAAGCCAAATCCAGTGGAAATTTAGGTAATACACTGAAAGTTATGGGAAAGTTTGATGAAGCTATGATATGTTGCAAGAGGCATCTGGAGATCTCCAGAGAAATTGGGGATAAGGTAACTATAGTTTGATGATTACATTTTATGCTGTAAAATCCAAAGTGTTATTCTTGAGAAAGTTTTCAATACATTTACACGTGTATGATTTATTTAGCTTAGTGAGGGACGAGCTCTGTACAATTTAGGAAATGTGTATCATGCTAAGGGCAAGCAAGCGAGCAGGATAGGTCAGGATCCTGGAGAATTTTCTGAAGATGTTAGACAATGTTTGGAACAGGCTGTGCGCTATTACGAGTAAGAACTCAATCCCTTGTTTTTAATTAACTTTTAAACATACGTTCTCAATCTATCGATTTGAAGTACGATATAGTATATTTTGCTTTTTAACAGAGAAAATTTAGAACTGATGAGGGAACTGGAAGATTCTGCGGCACAAGGTAGAGCTTGTGGTAATCTCGGCAATACATTTTACTTGTTGGGTGATTTCCAACAGGCCATTTATTATCACAATGAACGTTTGAAAATCGCTAGAGAATTTGGCGACAAGCCGGCCGAGAGAAGGGCCAATAGCAATCTAGGAAATTCGCACATATTTTTGGGCGAATTTGAGAAAGCTGCGCAACATTACAAGTAAATAACGTAGCTGTACTAAGTTAACACATTTTTGTAATTTTTTATTTGATATAATTCGTGTATTTGATTTGTCAGGAGAACTTTAGTTCTTGCACAAGAGTTGGGCGATCGTGAGGTAGAAGCGCAAGCGTGTTATTCTTTGGGCAATACGTATACTCTTCTGCGTGATTACTCCGCGGCTATAGAATATCATTTGCGGCACTTGAGTATAGCTCAAGAATTGAAAGATCGTGTCGGTGAAGGGCGCGCCTGTTGGTCATTAGGTAACGCTTACGCTGCGATGGGCAATCACGAGAAGGCGCTACACTACGCAAATCTGCATCTACATATTGCGAAAGAGCTGGAAGATCAAATGGGTCAGACTACCGCGCAAATGAACGTCGACGATTTACAAAAAATTTTGGGTCTGGAAAAGAGCCAGCAGGAAAGTAACAAAGAGAACATGAACGTGCAGAAACTGTCGACAAATTCAACGTCAAATGTCCCGTCAACCACTCCCTATAGATACAGACTCAGACGGCAAAGCATGGATAATTTGGATCTCATCAAGGTTTGCGAGTGTTTTTTAATGTAAAAATGTTATTATCGCAAGATCACAACTTCAGTAAAATTCATTTTTTTCTTTTTGTTTCATTAGCTTACACCCGATGCAAAACAGAAGGATAAGACAGACATTGTACGAGAAAAAAGTGGCAGCATTACGTCGGAACCGTCCCAACAGATCGAAGAAGATAACTTCTTTGATCTGTTATCTCGGTTTCAATCAGGTAGGATGGATGATCAACGTTGTGCGCTCAACACAAAGCATAACGCAAAACACAGGACAACAATCACGTCGGAAGTGTCCGAAATGGAAGACAAGTATGTGACGCTTCGAGTGAAGAGCATTATCTGTCAATCTCTTTTATATTTAACGATTGTTTGATGATTTATTTGTAGAGATGGCGAAGATTTACTAGAATTAATCGCTGGAATGCAGAGCAAAAGAATGGATGAACAACGAGTAACTTTACCTTATCTGCCGGGATTGAATACCAACCATAATACCAATCAGGACGCGGATGATTCCTTCATCGAGATGCTTGTCCGATGCCAGGTACACGCAAAAATTATTTAAAATTGATTCAGATAATTTAATTCATTTTTTTTTATATAGCAGCATAAACATTTTATCGAATGTAAATTTTCATGGTAGAACGTAATGCACATCGAATAGTACTAGATTGGATTTTTCGTGCAAAAAGTTATATATTTGATTTTAGAGTTCGCGTTTGGAGGATCAACGAAGCCCTCTGCCAGCAGCATCGACGCTGCAGGACGCCGAGGAAGAGAGAGGTCGAAGAGCCAACGGAAACGCACAGTCGGGTTCTACTGTGCCCGAAGAGGATCTTTTCGCGTTAATCCAAAGACTTCAAGCCGGACGGATGGAAGATCAAAGAGCTTCCGGACCCGGCAAGACCTGCTAGATTCGTAATGAGCAGACGATGACTTAAAAACTAATATAATAGAATATAATAACGGTCTGAAAACTTACGAAATCTGTAGCTCGAACTTTCTGCTGCGATCAGCTACAGCATCTTCTCAAAGCAGCAAACAAAATCCGTCAACTTGCGTGATTTTCCGTCAGCGTGCCAGTGCGGGGATGGTTTGTCTTTTTCCCGTAATAGAGAGGAAAGAGGATATACGGCCTCTTTCCTCAACTCACTAATAGAATTTCTTATGTATTTTCCGGTTTAAAACTGCACATCACGACATTACTGATTTCGAATGACGAACAGTGCGACAGTAACTTTTCGGTTGATTATCTAGTAATAATGACTGCCGTTAGTCTTTTTGGCTACTCTATTAAATGAATTGTTGAATTTAAACGATACGATCTACATTCTATCAATAGACGAGCTATTTGTCGATCATTAGAAAAGGCTAAAATATAACTCGTGAATGTTAAACTTAATGTGTTTGCAAAACTCGACGACCTCGGTGATTTTGTGTAACATGCCAGTAATTAGAATCAGTTTTTAGTGCTATCGTGAATTTTGCGCGATATACCTGTTTTACACAATACAAGGATTAGATGATTGCACGTTGCGATACAGATTTTTCAAAACACTGCCACTTATGGGGATGTGGATTATTTTTTTCGAACATTCCGTCGTGTGTGATCAACGCAAAGAATCCTACAATGTTCGCATCCTCAGTATTGTAACTTCGTTATTTTACATGCGCGCACGTGTTGTGTGTGCGTATTTTTTTCAATTTACTTCAGTCTTATATAAGGGAGAAGCAGCAAGATTATTTTTTTAAAGAATATATTATGCATGTAGAGATATACATATATATATATATATATATATATAAAAAGTGACAAATTATGCACCGCCGAGATTCAACACCTCTCTTTTGGTTGCTAAGTAAATTGTAAGTGAATAATAGACACAGAAAAAAAAACAGAGCGTACATTCTACATACAACACGAGGAAGAGTCAAAAAGTAATAATCCATCTTTGCTGCATATAACACGGATGCATCAGATTCCGATTATTACGCGGCATAGATTCACACAAACTTTTATTTGTGAGAAGTTTTCGATTACGTTTTGAGATTACATCGCATCCTTAAATTTTACGACTACTTTAAAAGTTGTACACGTGCACACAGTGTTTGTTTAATAGATTTTTGAGTAAAAGTTCGTTTTTCGAATCTTTACTATTACAGTATTTGACTAGCCATTGTTATTACATCGATACGTGACTTATAAGAAAGTACTTATCGCAGTGAGTATAGTCATGGGGTAAGGGTATCAGTTTTTATACGCAAATATACTTTTTGATTCATCTTCGCGTAAACAGACTATAGCTACGATGTTAAATCAAATATTTTTTAACAATTTTTTAGATAGAAAGAAGTCACGAATTTTTTTGTAGTTGAAAGCAGATGTCTATAAGTATTTTATATATTCAATAGACAAGAACACTCATAACGAATATTAGTGCCAAAGATTCTCAATACGTTAAAGAAACAAATCCGTTGAGATTTCTGATTACTCGTCGCAGTCGTATTTAAATTGTCGGTGACTCGCCGAATTTCCTGCAATTCATAATTTGGCTATAGTGAGGAAACGGGAATTTAAAAAAGAGAAGATAAAGATTACATATTAAATGAATCTTCTTTATTGTCGTTGCCACACAGATAACATTAAACGTTTACGGCTATATCGCAACAAAAATCACGGCTGATAATGATATTCGAACAAAGTAATTTTGTCATAATTTTATTCTCTACGATATTAGAATTATTAAACATAATTTTTTATTTAGTATTTTTTATTTCGAATTCTTTTCTAGTTCTTTGTAAGAAAAGTTTAATATATTAAAATTTGTTACGACATAGCGTCGTATCTGTTTAACGGCTACTTCGTGTTCTAACAAATTCATTTGCGGATCTAAACTAGAGATAATAGAGCTAATTAGCCTAACTAAGTACATAAGTGTGGAGGATATGTGTAACATGGATGTGTACAGCTCTCTGGTGTACTATACTACATGTCATCAATTCAAACAACTTAAACATGTGTGTACATAATTAAATAAATTTCATATTGATGAAATGTTGTGACAGCGACGAAATGTAAACTGCAACGATATTTGTTATTTTAAGCTGAAAGAGGAAAAAAGAATTATTAAACAATACAAAGAATAAGTTGACAATTGGTTCAACAAAGGTGCAAGAGTAGTGATATACCAATCGATCGCTGAGTATCTTTTGCTATTATATTGTTATGAAATATTGTACATATATAGAACTTTGATTTCACTCAATCAAAGGTTTAAAAATATTAACTGAGACTATATATATATATATTAGATGACAAATAAATCAAGCTGACGATCAGTAGGATTTTTGTGGTCTCTCTTGACCATGAAATTTTGCTATTATTTCTTAGAATTTATTTTAGATATTTTCAAGTTAGATTATACACGTAATAACTTCTCTTTCTTTTTCTCTCTTTCTCTGTCTTATATTTTTCATAACATGACATTACTGATAGATTTTTTTTTTATACTAATCAAATGTAATTCTTATAAGTTGCAATTACATATATCTGAAATCTAGAGTACATTCCATATTCTGTCCATACAATAATGTATAAAATATAGGGTCAATAAAGAAATATATATACCTTTTTCAGAATTCACGCTAATATTCAATTTACCTTGTAAACACACATTTTCATTGCTTAAAAATGTCATAAACATCACATACCGTATATATGTGGTCGAAGGATCGGTGAAAACGTGGAAAAGAATTACAGAAAACTTTTCTAGACGCGCACGTCTCAACGATTGAATCCGAAGTACTTTTAGTTTCGAGTGAAAAATAGAGTCGAGAGTAGCAAAAATCCAAGAGAAAAAGGAGAGAAAAAATTAAAAACTGATGTTGCGGAATACAAATGGTAACTTATCGATTTGTTTTTATAAAGAGATTTGAGCTTAAATCGATTAATTTAATTAAAACATTAAAACTGGTAGAGCTGAGGCGATTAATGTGTTACGAAAAATAAACTACTGTCAACGCGACGAGCAAAACGAAGACAAAAACCGGAGTAACACATTGTTTCGGTAGCCGCTCTTTCAGCAGCGCTGAGTCCCTTAATAGGCTTCACTCGCTTCGCGTTGATGACTGTCTTACGATCCACCTTTTAATGACGCTTCTTGTGGCCGTTCAAGAAAGAAGTTATGGCGATCCGTCCCGCCCATTTTTCATTGGGGACCAGTCCACGCGGTCTAGCAAGATTATTATGAAACTACGAGAGAAGACATCTATGAGAGAGGATGCTTCGAGGATGTACAGTCGACGCAACAAATGGCCACTGCAGAATTCTAATTAACAAACGTATCGTACGTTTAATCGATAAACTGATCGCACAAATCCACTCCCAAAAAAATTGAATCTTTTTTTATCGACTTGACTTTAAACTTGAGACAATTCCGAATTAAAACTTCAATTGCAATCAATTTTTGTTGTCGATATTGAGCTCAATTCCAATTGCTGTAATTTCTATCTTCGGTTCAACTTTTTCTAATCCAGTAATCCAGTTCTATTTTTTTTACATATTGAATCTCATGTAGTTTTTTAAATATATTAACATACGGTCCGCTGAAATAAGCGCCGAGCCCGTATCTATCGTACGCGCTGTACCCCGCAGCAGCGTGCGCGCTGATTGCAGCCATTGCAGGTGCAACTGCCAGCGCGCTCAAGATCGACGGGGACTCAACTAGTAATCGCTTCCGATCGTGTTTGTGCTAGACGATTCGTGTCTGTCGCGCAGCGAATTACAATCACGGCCGTATCGCTGCATCTTATGCAAATCCGCACATACTTACGTTCTACGCACGACTATCGCGGAATACCGCGTGAATATTTAAGTATCTCGGAAAAGCCGCAACTTCATCTTTGTTCTGTTCGCTGTTTCGAGCAACTCACCGCGAAGTATCGCCGGAGAGTTTATACGTTTATATTTTTAATACGTGATCATTATATAAATTTAATTTGCGCGAAAATATAATACAAAATTATAAAATATAATACAAAATTAATTTCAATCTCTCTTCTGCGATACGCGCGAGTATTGAAACGTCTCTCATAGAATATTCATAAGAAGTTGTACGTAATTTTTTTTTTGCAAGTAGCGTGAATTAGTTTGCGTTTCGTAATTTGTCACAAGAGTACGCGCAAGGACGCGCGATACTTGCATTCCCGAGACCTCGATATAATGCTACGTGCATGCGCGTCACCGTCTCAGAATGATTCTCACAAAACTATCTCTCCATCGTGAAATTGTATCTGCCTTGACATCTGACACGATGTCGAATCCATCTTAGTCTCCGCTTTGCATACGGGGGAAAGCAAAGATCGATTCCTGGATAACTTAAGAAGAAGAGCGAGTAAGAGCGCAAGAGCGCCGCGCGCCTGACACGCCTCGTTTGATGCGAGGAATTCGCGCAAGAAAAGTCGAATTATAAAGCTCCTTTTTCTAAGTCACCCAGCGAAGCTGCATTCTTCGATTTTATATACCATTATTGTCACGGTTTATTACACAGAAGCCAAATATATATTTTATACGCTAATGACAACGTAAACCCGAACGTGTTATTTATCGTTATTTATCAGAGTTTATATACACAACTTTATGAGTTTTCTCGCGTTTCTCTCGCCACTAGAATTTACGGGTTTTTGCAGCAAGTGACGATGCGGTTTGTTATTTTTTTGCTTTTTGTGCAATTGACAGGTAATTAAGAACAAGTAGTTCTATAAACGTGTTATCTTTATTGGACAAAAGTGCAGAATTATGAGAATCTAATTGTCACATGTACGTATTCACACACATGACGATTTATCTCTATGTTTTACGAATAAATCGAGACTATGAATACTGATCAGGCGGTTGAACTCATGTGGGTGGGACACTCTTCTTCTCTCTTTCTCTTTCTCTCTCTTTCTCTCTCTCTCTCTCTCTCTCCCGTTCCTGCTAAAGGACAGGATCTCTCACGAGACGATCCTCGTGGTTGCAGAATGCAAACGGGGAAGCGATTTTACCGAGCGCTTTTCGCGTTTTATCGGGCATATCCCGGCCTTCCGATTCGCGCTCAAGTCAACTTGCCGTACCGAGTGTCGCGCACGAATACGCTTTATGTGTCCCCATTAGCCGTGTGCACATCTCGGTTTTCTCAGCTTCTTCTTCGTCTACGTGCGCGTATGCATGCGTGCACGCGTGTACATATTATTGATGCGTTCCCACCCGCATATCATTAGATCCAACCCAAGGATCGACGAAGAGCTCTGTACGCTAAATGCCGTCGCTGATGACGACGGCGATTACGTAATACCGATGAAAAGAAGCGAGCACTCGATACCAAACAATGAAGTCGCAATCTCTGCAGTTCTAGCGTCTTCTTCTCATTATAATTTCAATGTTCCATTGTAAACGTTCCATTGAACAGAAGTAACGTTTAAAATAAACTCGAAATTTTTATAAATATAGATAATATAATATACAATATTAAAATAATATAATAATAAAATAATAATATAATATAATATAATTAATTTAAAAGTAAGTTTTATTTTTTATCCCTGAATTATCTAATTAATTACTGATCAACGATAATAAATATTCTACGTGTTCCGTAAGCGAGAACTTCGGAAAATGCTGCCCCCGTTTCTCTGAATTTGGTCGTACAAAGGCCAATGTCATCCCGATTTCTCAATCAAAGCCGTAACCTCATTTGATAACATCTAGATTCGTGTGTTTCCAGGGAAACGTTTCAAGCATTAACTGTGAAATTACAGAAAATTGTGAAAGCTCGCTTAATATTTAACTAGAAAATTGCATAAATGTACGGCGTTGCGATACATGACTCAGGACTGCACTTTTATCGCGTTTATATTATATCCGCTAATGCAAGTAGAAGTGCAAGTTGTTTTAATATTTCTTTACCTCATTCGGAAAATATATAATAAACTCAACTAAAAACTGTTGGACGCGGAACACATTTACCAAGTTTTGCCGCGGGAAGATTTTTATTTCTTCTCACACTTTTTCAATGAGATTGCCACTTTTTTTAGAATGCAACTTTTTTTCGAACGCGTGCGTATCTGTGCGTGTTACACATGTGCGGCGTTAACAGCTAAGTTGAGAAGGGGTGGGCCCGTCGTCATCGTGGTCGTCGTCGTGTCGTGTTAACCTGAAGAGAAGGAGAAACAAGATCGACATGACGTGCATGGACCAGAGGAAGAGAAGAGAAACCGATACACACAGAGACAGAAGGCAAGAGATAAGGATGGCCGAAGATGCTGAAGAGAGAGAGAGAGAGAAAGAAAGAGAGAGAGAGAGAGAAAAAGAGAGAGAGCTCTTCCAGATGAGCCCTCTCTTCGAGTCTACAATCTGCCGCTTCAGTCTCGCGTTGAGTCCCGTCGCGGCGCATCTTTTCGAAGACGGTCTCCCTTTCGAGAGACCGATCTCGAGCGGGCTGAGAGATCCATCGCCGATTTGTTGAAAATCAGAAAGTCACAAAATAGGTGCAGTTTTGAAAGATCAAGCGCGAATGTTGTCGAGTACTTTTGCATTAATTTCCCCTTGATGGTGACGTGAGATTTCTCAAGCAATTGGAGCTTGTACGTTGCCGTTTCTTGACAAATTGATGCTCTACTATTTAAGGAGATCTGAGAACATTATAAAAAAAATAGTTAGATACTAAAAAGTTAAATTTCTAAAGTTTTCCGATAGAGAAAAGAGATTTCTAAGATACAGGTATAAAAAAAGTACATGTTTTAGTTTGCCAATATGAGATTATCTAGATTAAATATTTTATATTATTCACTAGTTGATAAAAGAGACATGTGTTAAATTTACATATAATCGTTACTATAGTTTTTTTTTTTTTTTTTTTTTTAACGTTCTGCTCAAAAACGAGCGGTGGAGTTCGAACAAATTGGCGTTTCAAAAACATGATTATATGTCAAATAATGATCAAATACAAAAAAAAGAGATAGATCAGATTTTACAAGATCTTTTCCACAATTTCGTAGACAGAGAAAAATAAGTTTAATGCCACATCACCATTAATATCATAAATCAATTGCGATGCGAGTTGAGAATAGAATCAAGTTTATAGATTCGAATCCGCGCGAAGAGTGCTGACCTAAGCGAGTGATTTTTTGAAGATGATCTTTGGTCACGGCTCTCGACTCATATTCACGCGTGATTGCAGCAGTCGTTGAAGATCGTCACATTGAACACGATTAATCGCGACATGCGCGATCGTCGTCGGCCAGCCCACGCGTGTGTCGCAGATCTGTTAGCGTGAACATTTGCGAGCGACTCGTACTAGTTATGGAATTATATTAAACCACTGATTGTGTTTAAACAGGTATGTCTAAAAAAAGATTCTGACATTTTTTATAATAATTTTGTTTTTTCAAAAAAGACACTTTTTCTCCCACGTGATGAACAACATGCTTTTCGCTCAAATCGGGGAATAAGTTATTTTAATTTTCGAAAAAAAACTCTGTTTTTGCTTAAATAAAACGACATTAAAAAAGACAATTTTTTCGAAAAGAAATAATAAAATGTGAGAATAAAAAAATTTTTGTTACTTTGCAATAAAAATTCTTCAATAAATCCGCTAATAGAGGTTGCATTAAATTTACGAGCTTATTCGTTACACTGATATTTCTGAAAGTCGAGAAGCACCGTTCGGCAGTCGTTTCAAAAAGCCATTCCGCTCGTAATGGGACGTGCGAACATGAGGCCTCTTGTCTTTTTCCGCGGGAGTTGTGTAAGTTTATGAAACTTTAATATAATAGGCCTCATTGATCTCTCTTTTGTACTGCGATAAGGAGGTAAAACAGCTCTATAGAAATTGCGATGAATTTTTTCATTTATTTCTCAAGAAAAAATAAATGATAATTTACTGCAAAAATGCAAAATAATTCTGAAGTAAAAAGGCACGTGGCAATATTTAACAGCTTGCATTTATAAAGCGATAAGCAGAGTAAAAAAACAGAATGTCTTAAGAATTATTATCAATATCTAACTCGAAGATTATTGCAAAACACGTTTGAATGTACGTATTTTACAGTGCAGACATAAATCGTGAATAATGTCAATCGTGACAATGTGAAAATAATTGTGAATCTTCGTCTTTCGCTCGTTAAAATGCCTGTTGTAATGTATATTTATATCAGAGTTTCTTCTATCTCGTCGTACTAATTTGACGTTTCCGGAAAGGCGTCACAATCACGAGCGAATTATCACGCGCGTTTGTCTTTCTCGCGGCGATTTTACACGGCGAAATAAAAGGTGACAAAGAAGGAGCGTGCAAAAAAAGTGCATACAAATTTTTCTAATATATAAAATTACACGAGATATTAAAATAATTATCAAAGAGACATTCGAACGAGAGTGAACAAATTTAACTAACTCTCTCTCTCGCTCTCGAGATTGATTGACGACTTATATATGCGTATTAGATGTGCGATTACCGATGAGTCCGCGAAGAAAGAATAATCCGAGATAACCAGAGAAGAATCACGTCATCAAGAAACCGCGAATTCTTTGTGCAGCATGTCCGTATTGTTGTTACTGACAGTCTGGCTTGTCCTGGCATGTCAATTCGTCCAGGATAGCGCCGCAACGGGGCAACGTTACAGCCAAAATCCAGTACAAGACTTAGACAATAATCTGCAATCGGTGCCACCGCCCGGGTAAGTGTTTTTGCATTGATGCATGCAGTAAGAACAAATTTTTGAATCAATATGAAGATTGCGATACGTGTGCGTATGTTTTTTTTTAAATAAGTACCTCCGTTGTTTGCCGCTGCGATCCTTTGATACGTCTTACATGTATATTTTCACAGCGAGATCCGATGTCACAAATGTCATCACATGACGAATATTTCATCAGTCCCGTTTTTTTTTTTTTTTTTTTAATTTTACAAATTGTCGTAACAACTCGTCGGTGCGTCACTAACAATGAGAATCTCTCGAGAATCCCATGATTCCGTCCCGCGACAACCGTCCTCAGTGAGTTAAATGGTGCGATAACACCTAATTGGGTTATCGGAGTGTTACGTTATAACGCGTTGAATTCTGTGAAGTTACGCCTATTTTTCGCAATAAAAGTCAAGTTTCTGCCGATAAAGTTCCGCACTCGGTCTATTTTTATACACTCATCGGTCGGCGCCGTGTATAAGCATTTGCGGCTCACGCGGAAAGCAAATGGGATAATAAACGGGATTAGCCACACTCACATTCGTTCACTATAGCCAATTGACAATGGTATGCGAGCAATGATGGAAATACTTTTTCCAGCGCGCGCGCGTTAATTGTGATTTATTAATGCGACTCCATCAAATTTTCTAAATAACAGTGTAAGTTACTTCTTGTTCCTTCGCTTCACAACGAAGCTCTTAGCAGCGATAAGTCACTTAAAAAAGATTACAAGATGATAACAAATATCATAGCATAATCGCAAGATGATGACACAGATGGAGTTTTTTTATGAACCTAAATGAGAACCTTGCCTCCGAAGAATGAGAAAAGAAAATTGCAAGCTTAGCGTATTTATGCAAATCGTTGGGATTCTAAACTTCGTGTAGGAATATCAGTAAATCTAGTTTTCAGATCTGGTTTCACTCCTCACATGATTTCGACATTGACTTCCATTGCTCGTAATCTCGTTGCGTTCGTTTACGTCGAATAACATTGCGCGAATAAAATTATTTAATTTGTTTGAAGTAGCGTGTCCTTTTCGCAATTATTTTATATTTTATTTTTTTACTACACATACACACATAGAAAAAGATCGCACGCTTCGGGAATTACTCTGGTAGTAAGTCACGCGAAAGTATGAATGAGTTGGCTCCGTTATCTTTGTATTTGGAGTTCTTCAAAGTTCAGCGACTGTAGGGCACTCGTTATCTGCAGTTTACGCTCTGTTCACAATCCTTTATACGCGTGTCTTGCACACAGAACACGAAAAAGAAAAATACCTTCTACATTTTGCCACATAATCGTCGATGTTGCGGCGCTCGAAGTTTACCGATCTCGCATTTCAAGCAGTTTGTACAGATGTTGCGAGATACGCGAGACGATGAGATAGCGATACAGCGTCGAATATAAAAAACCTTATTGAACTGTTTGATTAATCATGTTAACGATATTAATAGAAAGAAGACTCTATTAAACGTGGCCGATTAAGTAACGCTACGTAAATAGTGCTTTTAATTGCTTCTGACAGGACTCTCGTTAATACGTCTTCATTAACGAGGAGCTCGGTTAATCTTCCGGTCGTGTAGGTCGTCTTTGTCGGAACATTTATTCACGTTTGATGAATTGAGATGGCGAATTTTTTGAAGAAACAGCTTCGCGGATGTTCAGTTTACAATTTGTCAACAGAGTTGCTATTTTGTTATTTTCTTAATTATTATAATTGTCTTAAAAATTAGAAAACTCGTAATTTTGTTTGTTCATACGATTGACGAAATCTTCGTCGAACGGGTGCAACCCGTTTTTTTTTCTTTTTCTTCTTCGTCTTACGCGCGCGAAACGCAGCTGCATTATCTTCCCGGTTGATAAAACGCGCGTTTCTACGTTAATTAATTAATGCGCCTGGAATGCGGACGAGGCGGGCGCGCGAGATAAGCCAATGCGCGGCACCCGGAATATGAAGTGCATTCTGCGGTGTTTTTATCCGCTCCGCGGCGAGAGATGACCCGTTCATCGTCATCCGGTGTATATCTGTGTGAAACGTTATTGTACCGGCGATTCATCATTCCGCGGAATGATGAATGATGCTCTCGCGCCGAGGCATTCCGCCGTGCCGTTTCGTCGTCATTTCGATCGACACTGATAACTCGCGGGAGAGCGCGAGAATAATTCAACGTATAATCTTCGAAAACAAAAAAAAAGTAAGCTCTCTCAGGGTGAGAGCGCATTCGCGCGTGACCGCGCGAAAGAATATCGTCGGACGATAACAAAACGCACTAATAGAATAATGGTGTTACATGCGTGTAAAGCATAGATGACATCGGCAAATAGCTTTTACTTTTAAACGAAGCTCTTGCTTTTATAACTCAATGTCACGCGCGCATGTGTAAAATAAAACTTTGTATATCGAATATATCTATTTTCAAATGAACAAATTGAGTGTCAAAATCTATCCGATATGGCACACATATCGTTCGAAAACATATCAAATCGCTTATCCTTGCTCCCGTTTCAATAAGATACCGTGCAAATGGGATACGGGGTCGGGTTTAAGCCTAACGGTATCGCCATTTACAAATTATTCACGGTTAGTTCGAACTACTTGGGCTAATTTGAATCGCATATTACGGCGGCGCTGGCCGACAGGAAGTGAAGAAGCAACTTCTAGGGATGTAAGAGGCGGTTAAGCATTAGAGCCGCTATCGCAACCTTAACGCAACAGCTGCCCGGCCAGTTGGAGTTGAAGTAATCTTGAAGTAATCTCGAAGTCTTTCGCCAAGTCTTTCCGAATTTTTTGAATAATACCTGTTGAATAAACCTTCTTCGAATTTTCATTCAACGCTTCGTTGTACCGTACGAATCATCTCAAACTATCGTATAGAAATGCAATTTGATCAAGTTTATATTATTCCAAATACTTTACCAAGTTAAAGAATCGAAATAATGATTGCACTGTGTCGCACGCGCGACATGATTGCACTCGTGTCGCAACATCGTGTGTGTGCGCGGTATTACCACTTGCTCTTGTGACACGACACTTCTCGTTTAAGGGGATCGTTTGCCCTGACCGTACTTTTTGTCGCGACAATCCTCGGCACGTGATGCAGCGCGCTTGTCCCTATTCGTTTGTCCCTAATCGCGACGAGAAGACGATTGTGTGTGTTTTTTTTTTTTTTTTTTTTTTTTTTTATAT